GGTTCCCGCTGCAGCGCTTCCCGGCGCGGCGGCCAGGGGCAGGCGGCGGAGGGGGGCGCAAAGCCTTTAAGAGGGGCAATAAGGTTTTGGGTTTCAGATGGTCTCACCGGAGGAGAACGACAGACAGGAACCCTCGGCTGCAGACGCCACCCGGCCACGGCCCACGCTGTTGTGAATGCTTGTGGCCGGGGCTGCCCAGCCCGGGCGCATGCGGTGAGGCCCGCCCCCACCGGCACCGGGCAGGCACAGCCTTCCCCTGCGTGCTGGCTGGACGGGGGTCGGGGTGGGGTGGGCACAGCCAGCACCAGGCTCCCGCACCCCGCCTGGTCACCGGACACAGGACAGCCCCGGACCCCAGCCCAGGGCAGCCGCGGCCCCAACCCTGTTTGCTGCGGCCTCACCGTCCGGCGCTGCGCTCGCCGCGGGGGCCGGTGCCCACTGACACCAGGGTGCCCACGACGTGGCATCCGCAGGGCGCAGGGAGCCGCCGTACTGCACGTGAGTCTCGGGCAGGGAGCCGGAACCGGCCCGAGACCCGTGTTGGGGGCCCCGAGGTCCCGGCGCCCCCTGGGGGCTGTTGAAGCTCATGAACCTCGGCGCTGTGTCAAGGCTCAGCCGCTGCTCCGGCCACCTTCGGCCCGGGTGGCCAGCGGGGCCTCCCCGGCCGGGGTCCCAGCTGCTCTAGAACCTCCAGGCGTCCGGAGCCCCGGCCCAGCGCTCAGGCCGGAGCTCTCGGCCTCGGCCTCCCTGCCCACCCCGGCGGGGGCTGCCGGAGCCCCGGAGTGCTGGGCTCTGGGCCCGGACACCTGGGCCCTGTTTCAGGGCCCCGAGGCCCTCAGGACCTAGAGGTGCTAGGTCTGACCGCAGCGGCGCTTCTCGACATGTCGGGGTGCCCCCGGCCGAGCCCCAAGATGCCCAGCAGCCTTCTGGCCGGAGGACAGTGCCGTTGGGCGCCACAGCAACCCGGGGCCAGTGGCCAAGGACAGCCAAGCCCTGTCCTCAGCGTCCTCCTCTGCAGAGTGGGCCCGGGCCCCGGGGCCCTCCGCGGCCGTGTGAGGGGCCTGCCGGGAGGGCGCAGCTGGCCGCCTGCTCGTCCTGGACTTGCAGCCCGGCGGGGTTCCCGGGCGCCTCGTACTCGGCGGCTCGGCAAGGGCCCGCGGGAGGGGCCGGTGTCCAGACGCCCGGGCACGTCCAGTGCTTCATGCGCTCCGCAGGGCCGGGTGCTGGGCTGCTCCCGTCGGGGGCTCGGGCTGGGAGGGTGATGGGCAGAGGCAGCCTTTCCTGGAGGCCCCGGGCCCCTCGGCGGCCCCCATTTCCCTCTGGTGTGAGGCTGCGGCTCCCCCTCTGGGGGCGGGGCGGGGGCGGGTGGTGGTGCGCGCCCGTGCCCACGTGCTGGGCGGCTTCCTCAGCCGGGTCCGCCGGAGGGGGCAGTGCCCGCTGCTCCTGCCGGGGTCCGCGTGGGGCCCTGGCGACCGATGGCCCAGCCCCAGACCTGGCCAGGAGCCAAGTGTCGTCCGAAGGGCAGGAGCCACCGCTGCCCAGGTGCCCGGGGTGTGGGTGGCTGGGGCGCCCAGC